AAAAAAAAAAAAAAAAACAGCGAAAGAGAAGAAGAAAGAAAGTGAAGGAAGGGGAAGTAGACGGCGAGGGTGACGAAGGTGAACGTGCCGGTAGCCATAGCCGAGGTGATGAGTTGACCGGGCGTTGACCAGACCGTTGACCAGAGGGTTGACTAGGCATTGACCAAGGTGGTTGACCAAGCGTTGATTGGGGTTGACCGTGTTGACTCAGCGTTGACCAAGGCGTTGACCGGGGCTGCTGACCAAGATGTTGACCAAGCTGGAGTTGGTGATATCTCGTTGACCCCTCAGCATATCCCCTTACCCTGTGGATGTGCACACCCCTACGGTACTTGCTGGGTTGAGTCTGTTTGTCTTCCTTTCTGCATTGAGTCTCTTTTGTCCTAGGTGTTAGGACTCTATGGATGAAGGATAGGGCCTTGCTGCCAAACCTGCACGGGCTTAGTAGGACCAAAGCTCTACGCTGGCACTTGGAGACCTGGGCATGAGCGGCGAGCGCTCGTTAAACAACTCGTCTAGCCCAATGACCGGTACTGTCCGGCAGGTCTACTGAGTTCAGTGTAGAGGGTCTGAACTCCGAGCTGTAGGCTGAAACGAGGGCCGTCTTTAAGTGTTGAGGCCTGGTTGAGCCACTCCCCTACCGGACCTATTACACCTGATGATCTGTGTCTGACAACTCGACTGTCCCGAGGGATACGAACCCCTCCAAGGACCGGTACAGACCGGCGGGCTGCTCGGTGTGGCACAGTAGGCTGGAACGGCTGAGTTGTGGGCTGAAATCGCCAGAGGAACCAAGCTGATCACGTCGTCCTGTCTTCGACGTTAAAGAATTCTTGAGGAGTTACGGGGGATCTCCTTAAATGCCTCCTAATCAGCTATTGGTTCAGTAGTGACAGCCTTAGAGTAGTCTTGGGTTGGTAGTGACCATAGTTGGCAGGGTCTTACCCTGTGGTCCTTAGGGAGTCAGTCAGTAGGTCAGTGTGTCCGGGTAGGTCCAAGTGGTGAGGAGTGGAACCCTTGTCGTGCACCTGACACCACCATGGTAGACACCCGACGCGGCACCGCGGCACCTCCACTATGATGTACACAAAGGAGGAGGAGGCGAAGATGGCCGTCATCCTGCAAGAGAGAAAAGAGAAGAGGGAGGCCAAGAAGAAAGCCCTGCAGGAGGAGCAGGCGGCCAAGCTGAAGAAGCTAGAGGAAGAAATGACCAGAGAGAAGGAGAGAATCAAGAAAGAGGAAGAGGAGAAGTTGAAAGAGGTGGAAGAGGAAGAAGACGAGGGACCGCCACTGGAAAGAAGGAGAGGGCAGCACAGCGGCAGCAAGGGTGAAGAAATGGAGAAACGGATTTCATAATGGGTCGCTAATTTGTCCTTGGGAGAGGAAGAAGAAGTGGCTATGTATATCCCCAAGGATGACCAGGAAGCCGCCCTGAAGAAATGGGAAGCAGAAAAGGATATGCTGAAGCGGCAGGCGATGGAGGATGAGCAGAGGATGGAATGGAAACTCACGATGATGAGGGAAAAGAAGAGAAGGGTGGAGGCGGCGAGTGAGGCGGTCAAGGAGTTAGAAGAAGTGCAGAAATTAAGTCTTAAGTTGACCCCTCAGGTAGACCTCGAACGAAAGGTAGAGATCCTCGCCTAGAGCGTCGAGCGTTTAGCAAAGATACAAGAACAACAATACGAGTTTAGCCGAAGTCAGGACATAGTTGTGCGCTCGATGCGAATGGGATTTCGGGACTTTGCCCGCGAACTGATAGGAGCCGTAGGAGCCGAGGTGAATCATCGCCTCGAGAAGACTGAGCGTTTTTGTGTTGGCGCCATTGAAGGTGTCAAAGTGGCAGCTCCCAAGGAGGAGGAAGCACGTTCTCCTTGCCGGGAGCCGGTCAAGGTCAAATTCCCTGATTCCTACAGCGGGAAGAGGGAAGAGAACTTTGACAACTGGGAGGCTAACGTCAAGACCTACGTGCATTTGCAACAGGTCTCCCCGGATCAGCATGTTTTGATTGCGATCCATGCGCTCAGAGATGAGGCCGCCAGTTTTGCAAGGTCCCTAGTGCGCGCCGCTAACTGCAATGATGATGCAGTTGCCTATTCGGCATTTACCTCCCTCACCGAGTTCATGAAATTGCTGCGCGAGCGATTTGCAGATGTCGCTCGTAGTGTCAAAGCCTCAGATAGGCTCTAGACAATCCACGCTCGTAAGTGGAAGAGTGCCAGGGCACTCAAGAGCACAATGGACAAACTAATCGTCGTTCCTGACCATGGGGTCACAGACACCCAATTGGTCGGCCTCTTCTACCGGGCGATCCCCGAAGCCTTGCGAGGGCACTTCTTCGCGAAGAACGAAGATCCGGCCACTACGTATGATTCCCTTAGTCGTGAAGTGGTGGCCTTTGAAGCCAAGTCCGCATCTGTGTCTACGTTCTGGCACAAAGACTTGGATAAGGGAAAGCAATGGAAGGGCCGCACTATCTCTGGGCAAGTGAAGACTAAGGATAGCTTTGTCCTGACTTTAGACGAGGGTAGTGTGGACGAGATACCCTACGATCAGATTGAGTGGGGGTTAGAGGAGGATGACAGCGGTGTGGGCCAGGGGAGGACTTACGCTGCTGTCGCGGCTGGAGGGAGGCCGCAAGGAGGAGGACGAGGCCAGGGCCAAGGGGGTTGGGCCTCAGGGAGCCGTTTCCAGGGCGATCAGGGGTTTGGCGGTAGAGGAGGAAACCGCCAAGCGGGAGGCAGGGGTCAAGGTCCCCCGCAAAACCGTCCTAGGAATAGGTCTCCCTATAGGGTAGGAGGA